TCAACAAATAAAATTTTTAGGTTTGAAACTTGAACAAATTAGATTCAAACTAAGTTTAATAAAATTCAAATAGATATTATATATGTTTGAGCCTTATTTGAACTTCAGTTTGAATCTCATACCAACTTTTAAGTGTATTTTAAAATTTAGTGTGACATCAGGTTCAACATTCAGTTCTACCCGGGTTGACCTGATTGGAAAAAGATAAAGATTTGAACTTTTGAGTTTCTAAACAATTTGCATGCCTTTGGGAGTTTTTTGGTGCATAAAAATGACTAGGTGTGGTTTAGAATGAATCTCAGGTGTTTGGTGTAAATTTCTACAAAATTGTGAAATGTTACTATTGGAGTGCCTCGTGATGAGTGTCTAAGTGCCTCAGCGTTGCTATAGTAATAGGTGCCAAATAGTGATATTTAAGCGCCTATAGTCTCGGGAAAATGAGATTTTGAACTAGCATCATAGTGCTCGAAGGTAGCACTACAGTGCTAGGCCATTTCGACCACTTTAAATATAATTTTAAATCCATTGTTTGATTCATTTTGTTTGCGAAGCCAATGTTGAGGAGAGAGAAATAGAGAGTTTTGGAGAGGGAAGCTCATTTATGAGTTGCTTTTGGTCGCTTTAGCCATCAGACCAGTTGGGAAAGTTGTCCGGATCGCGGTAGGTCACTTATATTTATCTCAGTTTTTTTTTTTTTTTTGTAGTTTTCAATTAAATTTATATTTCCATTATTGAAAAACATGAATAACTTTACACTAAAAAAAATTTCATCGTGTAACTTTTTAGATATTATAGAGACTAAGATTATGAATATTTTCTTGCAAAGTTTTATCATATATTTTGAGAATTGTGTACTTTTATCAAACAGAAAATGATCCGAACACTAAAAAATAGTATTGCAATATAATGAATGACTTATAATAGTGTTTTGTACAATTGTAGGTAATTTGGCTATATGTTGAAATTGTGAAATTTTACTAAATATGAATTTTTATTGCCTATCATTATAAATAATTGTGTAATTCTGACACCTGTTCAATTTTGCTTTAAATGCTATAATGTGATGATATATATATATATATATATATATATAACTACTATGTTCTTGTTATCTTTATCAATATAATGATTTATTAGAATATATTTAGCTACTTTTAAATATTAAATAAAATGTTTAATAAAAGAATTTAGACATTTAAATAGGTTTGTGAGGCCTACTAAGCTAGTTGAACTCATTGTGCTTTTGTTTTTGGTTTCATAGAAAAAGGAAGGAGCTTGTTGATTAGCAGTTAGCAGTCATGATCATATCTAAGTTTATCGATGTTTTTGTATTTTGATTTTTCTATAGTCATGTCTATTTATTTTTTTTCAATTATGTAACTTCTGTTTGATAACCATGTATTGTATTATAGATATAATTTGATGAATTAAAAGAAATCTTGCGGATGAATTTTTTTACACTACTCTGAATGTATTCAGTAGCTCTAGCTATACTCTATAGTTTGTAGTTTATTTAAAAATAAATTTGAAAGAGAATCTAAAATTAGATCTTGAGATTTGCTTGTCACGGCTCAACACGATAGGACATGTCCTGATCGGGTTAGATTGTGACACCTAGTGTTCGAACTTGTTTAAACCTCTTATTTGAGCTTAGTTGTCGTAATCATGTCCATCCTTTTCCTTCCTACTATAACCAAAGAAGATAATTGGTTTTGTAAGTTGGTGAATGCATTTCTAATTCAAAGTAAGAAAATATTAAAACTTAAACCTTGGAAGAGGGAGATGCATGTTGAAGGCTTCAAAGGAAGATTGCCACAGCATGGTGAAAAACAACTAAGATGCTTAAAATAAAAAAGTTATAGTAGTACAAAAGCTTTAGGTGAAAGTCTACCCTTCATAATACACATAAAAAGTTATCTTCCTGATACACATAATCAGCGGTGGATTTACTATGGGGGCCATGGGGGCACGGCCCCCGCTGAATTTTTAATTAAGGTATAATTAAATGCATTTATTATAATTTAATTATAATTAAAGGAAAATTTTAGGGTTTTTTCGGTTCTAAAATTAGAACAATTATTCTACGTCCGGTCGGAGGCAAATTCCCGCCAAAAAACGAGTTGTACCGAGCAAATACCGAGCAATACCAAACAATAACGAAGAATACCATCATTTGAAGACCCAATACCGAGTTATACCGGGCTTTACCGAGCAAATACCGAGTTATACCAAAGTTGTACCGAGTTTTTCCAAGAAAAACTCGGTACAACTCGGTATTTCTCGGTACAGCTCGGTATTGGTCTTCAGAGAACAGTATTTCTCATTATTATCAAATAATACCTAGTTGTACCGAGCTAATACCTAGTTTTTTGACGAAAAATTGCCTTCGACCAGACGTTCATCTACGTCCTTGCACGGCTCAACACGATAGGAATTACCTCTGCAGTGTTTTTTTTTTTTTTTGCGGACATAAGGACAAGTCTTTGCGACGTGAACCGAAAGGGCGAAACTGAGACATTCAAACGAGATCTTCTTGTTCACGGCGGCTCACCAGCTTGCGATCGGGAACTTTTATTTTATCCAGCGAACGTACGCAGAGGAAGGTTCGGTTTTAGGCAATAAAGCGCCTGTACCGAGTTTTTTACAAGCGCGAAAAACTCGGTACAGACACTTTTTTGCCTAAAACCGAACCTTCCTCTGCGTACGTTCACTGGATAAAATAAAAATTCTGCGATCGGACGGCGAACGGGTGGATGACGGAGTGGTGGACGGCAACTGTAGCATATTTCTCGTGGACGAGGACGATCACCAGTCCGTCACCGAGGGGAAATAATGTTGGTTTACCAGAGTAAAGCAAATGTTTTGCAGCATTTTTCTACAACGGGATAGAATCCACCTGCTAATCTGTCTTTTCACTGTTAATTCTATTGGATGATTAATTTGCTGTCATTTTTTCTGACCAAAAATAATGTCCCTTTGCTTTATCCTAAACGGCCAAGCGCCTTGTGGTTTTAATAAAAATATGACTAAATTTTATTACCTCAGGTCTCACAATGGTGGAATATGTGAAACTATAAAGCTGTTTCTAATTAGGCCATTAGGGCTGCGAGCGAACCAAACGTTCGACGAGCTACTCGTTGTTCGGTTCGATTAAAGCTCGTTTGCGATCGTTTAATTAACTAAACAAACAAACTTGAACAATATTTTAAATACTCGATTCTTAAATAAACAAACTTGAACACTAATGCGTTCAGCTCATTTATGTTCACGAACAACATCATTTGAAGTTCGTGAACAAGCTCGACATTAAGCTCGATAAAAGCTTGATTCATGTCGATTTTGAACTCGTGAATAAGCTAGATAAAAATAATTAATATTTGACTATATAATTAATAAATATAAATAATCATTACCTTTGTTACATAGACAATTGCTTTTATTATAAATGTGTTTGTTCATAGATATGTTCATGAATGTGTTTGTTTGATAGTTAGAAACATTTCGTTAAATATGTTCGCGAACAAGCTTAATAAGCACTAAACGAACGAACATTAACACAAACAATAAAGCTCGAATAAACATGAACCAAACTTGAACAAGTTGATATTAAATGAACACAAACATGAACACTCACATACTCGACTCAGCTCGGTTCGTTTGTAGCCCTAATTGAAGCTAAAAAACTAGATGTGTTATTGGAAAGCTATATTGTCTCTGTGTATTCTTAAAAACATGAATGAAAAATAGTAGAGGTTCTAAAGAAGACCTCAAAAAATTTCTAATCACCTTTTATTTATAGGATTAAGCTGGCTACATGAAATACTAAACCGTATATGTGTGTGTATGTGTGTGATTGGTACAAGCATACTGTTTGGATGATGTATGCGTGGATTCCTGCCTCCACCATAGCCCCTCATCTAAGGTCGGTGCCAATGGAGAATCTTTAATGGTGAGTAACTTGAATAAGTATTCAAAATATAGGTTTCCAAGCAAGTCTGTGTTGGCAAGTTCTTAGGAATGAACATCAAGTCACTTGTATATTACAATATGACATGTGCACAAGTGTGTTTTCTACGTTCTGGCGCTGGCCACCCAAACCGGGTCGTGTCAACCCGGCAACCCGCCGGGTCGGGTCCGGGTTCGGTTTTCCGACCCGTTTGTCTACCCGGGTCAGGTTAGGGTTGACCCGTTTGAACCCGGGTCAATTCCGAGTTCGACCCGAACCCGATCCGTGACCCGAAATTGACACCCCTATCCGCCCCTACACATAATGACCTTCTTATCCCAATTAAAAAAAAAATTGTGAAATAAAAAATCCTCATTACTAATGGTAATAGTTTACTTTAATATCAAAGAGATATTTCGATCCAAAAAATTTTGATGATACAATAAATAGGATATTTAACTAATTATAATTATTATGAACCATATAAAATTAAAATTCCATAATGATTAATATTTAACTACATATATACATGCATACATATACCAGACTTAGAATTGAATATGAATGAATTTCATAGTTAAAATATAATGGATGAAAACTAACAAGTGAGATACAGTTGAACTCGACAACAATTCAAATTGTTTTGAGCATCTTAGATCATCTCCAACCGAACACTAAACAAGCATTTGCCGTCCGCGAGTTGCTCCGCCTAAGCGTAAAAATCTACGCTATTCTCGCACTGTTTACAAATGCTTTTTTTTAGATTGGAAAAGGAATATATCAAGAATATTCTTAATATTTTCTTTTTCAATGTTATGAAATGAAATTTGATTGGATATGAGTTATTTTATTTTAGAGTATTATTATATTTTGAAGTGGAAAATGAATTTTTTGGTTGGAGATGTCCTTACAGACCTTATAGTTATACACAGGACAGATGTATGTTTCAAAGGTTCTCTTAAGGTGATACAAAGGCAGTCACAACAATATCTGTAATGTCTATGAAAGATACATTTTTTGAGCCTACGCCTTAGTACTGTTCAAACAAAACGAATAAAGTTAGAAAATGAAAGAATCATATTAAACAATTAAGCAGCCAAAAGACCAGTTCTACACAACTGAAATTGTACTAGGGTTTATACTTTCCCAGAAGGCCTATTTGACGATTTTATCTACATATTTTGATACAATTAGCATAAATAAAGGCCAGATATAATGTTAAAGGATGAACAACAAACATGGCTACACTGTAGTAATATCTCTCACTAACCTTCCAGATAGTCAATTCCAGACCCCTCGAAGAAAAAGGCAAATGCTGAAACTAAACTGTTGATGATAGCCTTTTATGATACACTGAGGTTTTGTTTGGGACGACTTTTTTATTACTTCTTAAAACAGCTTTTTAGTTTAAAAATTAAGAATTTTATAGTAAAAAGCTGTGTTAAGAAGCAGTAAGAAAGCCGTCACAAACAACGAAGCCTAAAACTTTCTATGATTGTGCCGAAAGCGAGAGAACTGAGGATCTGTTAGAAGAGCCCCGAACATTGAATTTCTCATACACCTTCAATCGGTTTTCCGACCACCATGATTCAGCTTGCTTCTCCCCAAATCTTCTCCGACTGCAAAAACCATTTTATTGTTAGAAAGTAAAAAAAAAAAAAATTTGAATAAGAGATTTGTCTACTGCCAAAATGTTGATTATTGATTTGTTCTTATTGATTACCTGAATCGCACTCGTTTCAGATCTCGAGAACCATCCCTGAGGCCTATGAGAGTTATATATACACCTGGTTCGTATTGTTCTATCCATTCTGCCTCAACTTGGTTATTTTCTGAAGTTGGGCTAGGCTTTGAACTATTTTCCATGAAAGACCTGGAATCATTTCTATACAAGTAACCGGATACAGGTGCTTCTCCATTACTAGGAACCTGTTCAGTATTCACATTTAGGATCAAGCCATTCAGTCCTGAAATTCCATCTGTAGGAGCAGGCTGAGATGTTAAGGAATGAAGTTGCTTTGAAACATTGTTTGAACCATTCATCAAATCTTGACTTGCAATTGAATCGTCATGATGAAGGGCGTCGAAGCCATCGCCATTGGAAAGAAGGTAGCTCCAACTCGTAGCATCAGCGTCATTGAGGACCGCCGGAAATCTCTTCGCCAAATCCTTGAGCTATAAAATTATTTTATCAGAATAAAGGAAACTATTCAGTGTACGAAGTTAAATAATATAGATAGATTTAACTAGAAATGACAGCTATGGCAGTCAACTGCAACAACAAGAATATGAGAATGATAAGCTATATTAAGCAAGCAGCGGGCACTACAACTGCCAATAAAAGTTTACACGTCTCTGTGAAAAGCAGAAAATTACCTGTTGCAGTTCATTCTTGCTATCCGCTCTTAACTGCCTGGATCATCTTCACCACTAATACAACAAACTATCCGTATTACAATCTCTATATAATCAGCCACTGTATTCTTACATTTTACATGAGAGATCAATACATGTAAAACACAATTTCATAGCTTACTGTTCTACGTTTGGTATTTTCCATTCTCTTCATACTCTGTTCTGCTATACCTAAACCGAGCCAGCCCAATTTAGGGCGACCGAGCGTGATGGGGACATCAGCAGCGATTTCGACACATGTACCTTCAGGAGATACTGGAGATCGACGGAGATCGACGGCCACCATCATGATCTGTATTTTCATCATTTTATGTAGTAGTTTATTTTTATTTTATGTTTTTCCGTTTTTGCCCTCATGGGTATTTGGTAGCTATTGTAGCCCAAGGGGCATTTTAGTCTTTTGCTTTCTTTGTCATTTTGAGGCCTATTTATATGGCCCACTTAGAACATCATTTTTACTCCTCTTTTCTCCCTCGCAGTAGCAGCAAGTATCAAAGTCACCTCTCCCCTCTTTTCTCTTTTCCTCGGGGTGTTTTCCCTTAATCAACATAGTTGTTAGGGAAGGATTTCCTTCTAATTTTCCTTTTTCTCTTGGATCAATTTTGAATCTTTCTCCCCAATCCTTCCCCATCAATTAAAGTTGAGTAAGTGATTTTCTTTTATTTTTTTTATTATTATTGTTATTGTTTGGATGTTTAGTTGGAATAGTGGTTAAGGTTGATTAGGATATTCCTCTTTATGCCTCGATGAACATGCTTGATATTATTTTATTTTTCGCTACTTGTAGGATCATCACTTGGCGGAGTCAAGCGAGCTGCTATTGAGGTTGGAGTCCGTGGCAACCATGATAAATAACAACTATTTATTATTGAATAAATGTAACTTTCTTTGTTATGGGCAAAATCCTTGTTATTTATATTAGGATGTTTGGAAATTAGACCGTCAATCCTATCATTATTGTAAAGCTTATTGATTATTTGCCAGCACTCGTAAATATCTTTTCATACTCATAATAAACTAGAAATTTTCATAAGTAGATTATTCTTGTTTTATTGTTGCATAAACTCATGTATATTATTTTCATGCACGTATTTTTATTTGAATGCAATGAATGTTATAATTGCAAAGCACATCTATTTATGAAATAATTTTTTGGATATTGAAACTATAAAACCTATTGAAAAGTATTTATGAAAATTTTGGGAAAACAATATGCTTGGTGTATGTCAGTAAAACCCTACTAGTTATTGACTAATCGGGGTCGACGGGCCCCAAGAGTGACGACTCTATAGAAAATCACTGAATTTTTTTGGGTTTGTGTTTTTACCTTCTCGGTGATGGATATTTGATAGGCCGACTATAGTTATTTACATTTGAATGTTTGAATATTCAATTGGATTTGAATTAAAACGAATATATAGCTTACAAGTCATTTTGTGGCATAATGATTCCTATTTTGGTGTAGATATAAACTTGAAATGATTTGGCATCAATAGCTAATGGTCATATATTCATGCATATTAGAATATGTTGTAGAAAACCTAGCAAATCTCATGCGGTTTTTGATATAATGACTATAAATTACTACTCTCTTTTGATTGCTTATACTGCATGCCCCACTCCTTTATCGTTTATGCTTGGATATATTAGAGTTACTTGCTGAGTTTGATTTATCAAACTCACTCGTTGTCTTTTTCAGTAGGTCTTGCAGGCGTTTTTGATGGATCTCCACCTCTGGAGCAGGGCTATCAGCAGTAGATTATTTTTAGTATTTATTATAGTACAGTAGTTTATTTTTGCTTTTGTTTCTAAGGGTTGGATAGTTTCTTTCCTGCTTTTCATACTAATTATATTTCTATTGGCTTGCATTAGATTTTTTTTTATTTGGATGTATTAGTTCTTTGAACTTATATTAATGAATTGACTCTTCACTTCGTCTATTTATTATGATATATATTGTGAAAACCCTTACATTATTTGTACGGAGTCAGATGCAAGATCTTTACTGACCATCAGAGTCTGAAATACATATTTACTCAGAAGAATCTAAACCTGAGGCAAAAGAGATAGCTTGAGTTGATTAAAAACTATGATCTAACTATTCAGTATCAGCCTGGTAAGGCTAAAGTGGTGGGAGACTCTCTAAATAAGAAGTCTTTTGGACTATCATGCATACAACTTCATGAAATCTGGATCACTTGAAAAACGTCTTCAACCAACCTATCGTTCTCGAATAATCCAACCCAGAATTAAATTATATAATATCTTCATGAAATACTTTTCTTTGAACCAATACCTATCTCTAATAAAATCTTTTGTGGACAACATCACTATGGCAGACTCCCCATTACAGCAGGATGTCATTTTATACAATGGCCTTCCCTCCGCATATCAATCCTTTAAAACCACTATACAAACCAAGCTTACCTCCATCAGCTTGGATGACCTCTACTCTCTTTTATGCAGTGAGGAAATCAACATCACCACCAAAAATCTCAAACTCTCCCAACTGACACACCCCCTTGTTGCATTCACATTCACAAGGGGCCAAAAAATCGATACAATCGTGGTCGCTCCAACACAAACTTCACACAATCCAGCCGAGCAGGTGAGGTAAGGGATTTGATTTTTTTTTTTTTTCTATTTTTACTGGTCAACAACAAGGCTCTCGCACTGCCTCCCTAACTCCATGGATCATCTGTCAAATCTGCAATAGGTAATCTTCTGCTCTTCATAGAGAAGTGGAAACATGGTAGGCAATTGTAGTGTTGGAGTGGAAACATGTCAGTTGTAGTGCCAGAGTGGAAACGTGATTGGCAGTTGTGATGTCAGCGGCTTGCTTATCAGCATATAACTTATCAGCAAAACCCAATGCCTAAATTGGATTGGAATCAATACATCCATTTTTGGTCATTACATAATCACTATAGAAACTGATTTCTTATATAGTTATATATATAGCACCAATATGAGAATATTCTTGGCATTATGACTAGGGCCTTATGGATCGCAACAAAAGCCATCTGCAATGCACGGTAAGTCGCAAGGAAATTGCTGCTCGCGGTGTATGAGGTAAAAGAAAAGAATACTATTTGCTGGAGAAGAATAATGTTTGTTGGAGCAAAAGAACGGCAGATGTACAATATCCCTATCCACCGACAACACTGTAGGAGACGACTCCAACAGAGACGCCAACCAAAGAAACAATTAATAACCAAAAAGTTCGGGAACTAAAGAACTAGGAAACAACGGAGAATCTACATTTTGTAGACTAAGAGGCTGTTTAGTTTGCTAAAACATAAATGCAACGTAAAAGTAAAAAAATCTAAAAGGACTATCGTGTATTTGAAATGTTTTAAATTGTTTGAATAAATGTAAAAGTCATACATGAGATTACCCTTTTTTTTTAGCTTGAAGTAAAATGAATGTATAGTAAAGTTCAAAATGATGGCCAGCGACATCGATGGTGAGGAGGGCGGGTGATGGCTGGAGGCAGGGTTAGTGGCTGGCAACGAGTTGCTGGTGGTAGCAGGTGGCTAAAGGTAGCGATACTGACCGTTAACTGTGGACAATGGTTGGCGATAGAGGTGGTGGCCGGGGGATGCCAGCGGCGGGCAAGCGATTGTCGGCAGGGGTGATTAGAAGGTAGCTTTGTTGTGGTGAAATGGTGAAAGCATTTTTCACTCAAAACTGGATGAGTTTATGTCACTTAAAAAATGAACTAGAATACTTTGCATTACATTTAGGATATTTTACATTGCATTTCTTTCTCATCCAACCAAGCACCAATATTTTCAAAACGTCAGCAAAAAAAAAATGTTTTACACCCACTTACTTCCAACCAATAGCCCCTAAATTAAATTAGAATAAACACAAACTAAAACTGAATCCTTACTAAATTAAGATTACTAGTAAAAGAAAATATTAAAACTACTAAAATAAAAGTTTTCTCAGACTGTTCACCTTAAAAACACACAACTTGTGCTTTTTAAGAATATGCATCAAAGAGCACCTTAGCTGATGGAAAGTGGAGAATTCAAACCAAGATAAAATGTTTGTAATATGTCCTGATCAGAAAATCTGAAACACTGAACAAGCATACATAGACATGCAGGATTCACAACATACAGAAACTATCAGAACATGCTGATGTCAAATAAAAGATAAATATAAGTTAAAGATCAATGTTCACGAAAAACAAAAAGTATCATCAAATTATACCGAAAAACCAGCTATAATTAGGCCATCAGATTTTATATGCATGGAAAGATAGTCAAGGGTTGTGAGTGTGAAATGCAGAGGGGAAGAGATTAAAATCTTGCCTGCGCAGTAAGAGATTTTATGACTTCTTTTGCAGCTTTAGACTTTGCAGATTCCTCTGCAGCAATTGCCATAGCTTCTTGAATTTTCTTCGCAGACTTCTGCAACTCATATTCTTGAAATTCACTCTGCTGCATCAAGCTATCAACCTAATTCCCAGCACAGCATAAGATAATATCTTCCACGGGAATGGTGCATAAATTAATGAGGTCTAAATATTGGCTTTCTTACCTGGCCACGCAGCTTTTGAATTTCCTGGTTTAATAGCTCATTTGTTTTCTGAAGACTATCCGCTATACTTTTGGAGAATGAAAGGCCTGACATGGTAGGAATGGGTGTAGCAGAACGTGGAGGGCTAGACCTTCTTATAAATGGAGAAATGGCTCTGGAATGATTTGTGGATTGAACAACTGGAAAGTAAGTTAACCTGGGATTTGCTTCTTGCACGTCAAGCACAACGGAAAAGGCAACATCTCTACGCTGTAACAGTGAAGAAATTTGAGGGCGAGGAATTTGAGGGCGAACCAATGGTATCGAATCAGATTTCTTCCCTTGTTTAGTTACCTTCGAATCCAGACTTTTAACTGAATCCAAACTGATAGGTGAGGGAATTTGAGGGCGAACAAATGGTATTGAATCAGATTTCTTCCATTGTTTAGTTACCTTCGAATCCAGACTTTTAACTGAATGCAAACTGATAGGTGAGGGAATTTGAGGGCGAACAAATGGTAATGAATCAGATTTCTTCCATTGTTTAATTACCTTCGAATCCAGACTTTTAACTGAATCCAAACTGATAGGTGAAGCAGCCTTGGGCATTTTGAAATCAGCTTTGTCATCACCTGACAAGCGAGCTAAAGGGCTTTTCTTTTCATACGTTCCGCCATAATTAATGGATTTACTCAATTTCGCATAACAAGAATCACAAACACGGTATGGTTTCTTTGGATTAGGAGCCAATGCAGCTCTCAACGCTTTCTTTGAGCTGCAAGAATGGCAATGTATGAGACCGCAATTGTAGCAATTATGCCTCTTGCGAGTGAATCCAAATGGTTGTCTACAGGCTGTGCATAGAGATTTCTCAGCAGAACTAACCCATTTATGATAGCATATGGCAGCCGTGAAATTCCCCCCACAAGCTATGTTTTTCACAGGTCTGTCCTTTAAAGCTTCAACAAGCATAGGTGTCTTTCGATCTTCAAGGTCTCCATGGCCTAATCGTCCATTGGCACCCTTTCCCCATGTATAAACTTCATTCCTCGATGTCAAAACAGCGACATGATAAGAACCACAAGCAACCTCTTTGACAAACTCATTCGCAAGCTTATCCTCGACTAAGCATGGAAGCTTTCCATCAGAATGAGGATTACCAAGCTGACCGTAAACAGTGCTTCCGATTGTAAAAACATTGCCTGAAGTTGTCAAGCCAATTGTAACACTATGACCACATACTACCTTGTGAAAATTGTAATCAATCAATGATGGCACGCAAGTGGGCTTAAGGCGAGGTTCCTTGTCACCATGCCCAAGGCGGAACTTGTCCCCATCACCCCACGTAAACAATTTCCCAGATGATGAACTAGATTGTGTTACAATAACCTCTACAACCGCAGCTGTATGCCAGACCCCACATGAAACAGCAATGGTCTTCAATCCATTCAAAGAATCTAATTCTCTTGGATATAATGCACTCTCTCTGTTTCCATGGCCCAAAGCACCAAAAGTACCGTCACCAAATGTGAACAGCTGCCCTGCTGTAGTTAACAATGCTGTGTGCCAAGTTCCACATGAAACAAATGCAACTTGAAGTCCTTCCAGGGATCCAGAAATTCTTTTAGGAATCCAGTGACTAATATCTGTACCATGACCAAGTAAACCTGCCTTATGAGCACCATCTCCCCATGTATAAAGTTCACCACTTGTTGAAACAGCACAAGTATGAAATTCCCCGCAAGCGACAAAATCAATTTTAGAAGCTGATAAAGATTCGACCAGACGGGGGTGAACTGCATCTAACCCTATTCCATGACCAAGTCGACCACCAGATTCTTCACCCCATGTAAATACTTCTCTGTGCCTTGTAACAAAAGCAGCATGCTTGACCCCGCATGCAACATGTTGAATATCCAAAATGACATTGGAGTCCAGCGGCTTAGGCAGCAGAATATCATTTTTTGCACTGAAATGACAAATAGCACTATCAGTGGAAGTTCTGGAAGAATTACATAATACTTCACCCCACACATACACATCCCCATAAGCCTCAGAATCGTCCACAGCTGAGCCATGACTGGATGAACTGGGAACACTCGAAACACTGAATCTGAAAGCATCTGATGGGGATCCTTTTACATGCATACTTCTCACATCTGATCCTTCAAAACATGCCAAATTCTGAGAACCTTCACGTGCTATGGAAATGCTAAGCTTTTTGTCAGGAAAATCCAATAAGTTAGAAAGAGAGCTATAACTTGGACTGCTGGGTATGGAGTTCTTGTCGCTCTGGAACAATTTTTCACATAACATATTTAAAAACGTTTCAATAAAAATAATTTCAAAATATAGTGACTGCTGGATGTCAATAACACATGCCAAAAAAATTTTCACAAATCATATTAAAACAACAACAATAACAATAAGCCTTTATCCCACTATGTGGGGCCGGCTAGATGAATCTTTGTTTTTCAATATGTTATGTTAACAGTCAAATTCTCATCTAAATCTAATAAATAAAGATCATATTAAAAAAAAACATTGCAATAAAATTAATTTCAAAATGGCATCAATTAAAACCCCTAACCCACCCACCCAGAAATCATCAGAGAGAGCTTTTTTAGCTAGCGTTATACCTTCAAGCCAATATCATCTTTTTTCACCATTTGTCATTTGAAACTATTGGATAACCTTACCGCTCAAAAATTGTAGGCCCCAAGAATCTTCACATTTAAATCTTTAACCAAAATCATAGCAGCTTAATCTGATAAACTAATTGAAAACTTTGATCTAAAAATTATCTAAGAATAATATTGTATACCTTCCTTATATGATCCATTGAAATCTAAAACCTTCTATTCCCATCTACACGTTATCATTACAAGTATGTAGAAGGAATTCGATGTTCAATTTGGAATTTAAACATGCCCTAAAGTACATTGTAAAACCTTTTATAAATACTGAAACTGTGATGATAAAGATATTTGTTTTTTTTTTGTGTTTTTTTTTGTGCGCATTCATCTAATAATGTATTAGGCGTATATGCACTTAAATTCATTCAAGGAAATGGATTCAAACCATGTGCCACATTAAGATAAAATTGGGTTAGAACTGAAATAGTGTACTTAGAAGGAAATAGATTCAAACCATGTGAACTTGTTTCTACAACTGTCTCCAACCGTGTGCATCGACCTCCCAACAAGTATGCACAAGGCAGATTATTGTCACAGACAGAAAAGGGATGGCAGGACCTCTACGTCACCAATCATTTTTTTACACGTGGAAAGTGAATACACTCCAGAACTAAATGCTACCACCATCACAACCCTAGCTATAATGGTCCCTCACGACAACCTCAAGTGCTCTTTACAAGCACAACCACTCTTTCCATCAACTAGCATATCAATTCTGGACCCACCTACAACCTCATTTCAATCCCAATTAACTTCAAAACCCTAAGGAGTATCATGATACATAACATGACACTTTCGGCAATGTCAAATCCCCATCCATATCTCATATTAATCATGACATTCTCCCCACACAAAACGGTACGGTCGCCCTCACCATCTTCTCCAAATTCCAAACCTCTCCTATAATATCATCTTCATTCATCATCTTATCTCTCACAATTCAAGTTCTAGATTCTTCGATGTTGTTGGCTACTAAATAAAGGACACTAAGCTCAATTAAATGCTCCCATCAAAAGCATGTCATAATGATATGTACTCTATTAGCTCTACTCAATCATCTCAATGGTTGTCTTGTTATTATGCACTATCTCAGTGCAAAATAATTCTTGCGCTTTGGCACGATAGACTAGGACACCCAAGCTCCTTCATTTTATCAATACTGAAAAAAACTAATCAAAAACTATATATTACCTCCAATCCATTATCATGCTCATCAAGTCACCTTGCAAAGAGCCTTATATCACCCTTTACTTCCTCCACTTGTCATAGCTAGGATCTCCCTAACCTCATTCACTTTGATGTATGGATCCCTTCCCCACCATATCTATATTTTTTATTGATGATTTTCTTAAATTTTGCTGATGTATCTTATGAATCTCAAATAAAAATTAAACATCAAATTCTTCCAATTCAAAAACATGCTAGGATGACCATTTAACTCTAAAATCCAAAACATTTCACACTAATGGAAGAAAATATCTCAAACCTAATTTTCAAACTCTTCTCTCAAGTTGGCATTATTAACCAAATTAAAATAAAAAAATAAAAAAAAATTTGGGATTATTAACCAAAAATTTTGTTCATGCACACTTGAGTAAAATAAAATAGCTGAACAAAAGAACCATCATTTCATCAAAATGATGCACAAATTACTGCTCAAAACCATTCTAACACCTATGGGCCAACACTCTCTTGACCACAACCTAACTCATGAGTAGGTTGCCCTCCACCCCCCAACAAATATGCTCTCTCCGTATCAACTATTGCACAATGTTATAAGTGCCTCAAAATATTTCGTTATCAATGTTTTCCCAAGCTCTATTCATATTCGATCAAGAAACTAACATCTATGTTTACTAGATATTCTTTCACATATATGATTCTCTCCAAAAAGGTTACAAGTGCCATGATCTCATCTTAGGCGAAACATTCAAATCACGCCATCTTCTTTAAAATGAAGATCTCTTTCTCTATCACAACTCATCTCACTCACCTCAGAAGACCTCACTCTCTCCACCACAGCCTCCCTTAACACTAGTTCCAATCCTTAGCATTCACACCTCTCAGTCAAGGCAACTGATGCCTGCTTCTCTACAATCTTCAACTATCATAGCCAAGACAAACAACTTCCTCATAGCTCTTCCCCCCTATGTCCCCCACCACTCACTCCTCCCCAATCTCTGCTCTAACTTTTCCTCCGCCATCTACAAGCCATACTCAATATGAACTTATAGCAGTTGATGATCCGTCTCAATTTTGGCAACCTCAAACCCAAACAATTTTTTAATTTTCTCCATACTGCCACTCTTTGCAACCCACCCTACTACTCGGCTATTAAAGATGAAAATGGCATCTAACCATGTCTCGAGAATTCCAAACTTGATAGCCCCATGGAACCCACATACTTATCCCAATGTCACCTACACAAAACATTTTGGGCAGCAAATAGTCTTACAACATGAAATACAACTCAGCTAGCTCAAAGTTCATCATAAGGCTTGCCTCATAGCTCAATGCTTCAAACAAAAAACAGGACATTGATCACACTGTAACATCCAGCCCCATCACCAAAATGCTCATCATTCATGTCCTTCTCGCATTAGATATCTCCAGCACCTTTCTTCATGACAACCTCATTGAAACCATACACATGACTAAACGTTAGGGATTCATGGATCAGCAATATACAAATCATGTTTATCTTCTCACGAAGCCATCTATGGACCCCGACAAGCTCCCCAACAGGCTCCTGCTTGTGATTTTCCACTCTCCAATCACCTACAACATCTAGGCTCACCTTTAATACCATTAATCACACATTGTTACTCTACAAGCAAAAAAACAACTAAACGTATATTCTAATATATGTTGATGATATCATTCTAATTAACAACAATCTCACTACCATCTTTGATCTTCCACAAAACTTCCAAGGTACCTTCCATATAAAAAACTTAGGCTCTATATCTCACTTTTCTTGTCTTGAACCACAATCAATCTCTTATAGTAATCACCTAAATCAATGAAAATACATGCTATACATTCTTCAACATTCGGGGTATGAGTGACTATAAGATAGTACAAAATCTCACAACTTCTAAAGAGCCTCACACAGTGAACCCCACAAAAATTTTCCTAACCCATCTCTATCATCATCCTGGCAGTTACCTTCAATGCCATCACCAAACCCGAACTCTCTTATGTCTTGAACTAGATGTCAACATATGCACAACCTCTTAATCAACACTTCCAACTTATCAAACGTTTATTGCATTACATCAAAAGCATGGTTCACTATGGGCTGCCAATATATGGCAACAAGCTCCTCCTCTAGGCATAATCAAATTCAAATTGGCCAAGAAAGCCAGCTGTGAATCGACCATTGGCTATTATGCTTTCTTGGAAAAACCTTAATCTTTTAGTGCGCCAAGAAAAAGTCTACCACCACAAGCTCTTCTATTAAGGTAGAATATCATGCACTTGCCACTATAGCCATCGATATCATTTGGATCTGACATCTACAAGAGTATAATACCAACTCCACCTCATCCACACCCCACTATTGCAACAATACATCTACTCACACCCTTGCCAACAACTTGGAATTTTATGCTCACACTAAACCCATCGGAAAAGATCACCATTTCATCCAAGATTGCCTAAAATCACAAGTAGTCACCCTTCACTAAATACCTTCCCACGACAAACATGTGGATATTTTCATTACACTCTATTCACTACATGATTTCTTCACCTAAGGGGCAAATTGACAATCCAAGAAGGACCCTCAACTTCCTGGAAAAGTGATAAAACCATAAAGCCACTCACAAAGTACATTATGTCATCATCACTGTACAATTAAAACTAACCAAATGAAAACCCTTCATAGAAAATAAACTCTGCCACAATAACTGCAGATAATCTTTCTACTTATAGAAATATAATTGTTTTAGATTCTATATGAGATGAATAAAATAATTCTCACATTACTTCATGTCTCATCTTCTTTCCTATATCATATTACCTCAAAATAAGTCAACTGCAACATAGATAACATTGGCTAGGTGTCTATATTGATTTTAAACGAGGTGATTGAAACATAGTTAACTATGGAGCTGCTGGCTATATAGACTTTAAAGGAGGTGATTAAATATTGGATGCTTGACAAGAATGGAGTTATCATTGAGGGGGAGAACATCAATGCATAAGGTGGCTCAAGAGTTCTATGGGAGATCAAAGAAAGATGCTTTACTCTGCTATGGATGAAGACTTCACTTTTTTGATCCACTTCAAGCAAGTGCTCTTCACAACATACCAAAGGAAAGTAACAAGCCTGCCAACTTTTGTGCTTTTTTTGTTATTACTAGCAATTTTTTTGGGGAATGATGTGCATGATAGCAAACTTCCCTCCTCTTTTTTTACTTGGTTGAGAGAAGATAGTGATAGATGTCAAATCACATAGTTGTACTTCATTTTATATATATATATATATATATATCGATATGCCTGAAAACTGGCCTTTTACATTAGGAAAAAGTGTTGGTGAATTTCAAATCCACCACTTTCTGCTAAAAACAGATTTAACTTAAATCACTAAAGAGATTAACAACAATGCGGGATTTACAGATCTAGTCTTTAAATTTTAGAATTACTGATTTTTATTCACAAAACATTTCCAAAAACTGTTGTGTTCTTGTTGAGTATGACATAACATAGATGCTTTCTATTCTCCTGCCATTAGTGTTTAATGAAAATAAATTTGACAAAAGGTGAAAATCCTCATCATGAATCAGACATTTGCCATAATTTAACAAATATAACAATAAACCGTCATGTTAGCAGCATATAATTGATGTAAAAGAGAACGGAATATGGAATATCAAACATTTACATCTAGGGAATTCCTTTCATCCGTCCAACCATCAATTTTTGAACGTCCATATTGACCAGATGTGATAAGTGCCCTCAGACCAGTAAACCACACTTCAGCTTCAACTTTATCTTTGCATATCTGATAGTTGTTGATGAAAATCACATTGTCAGAAGAATAATAAGGCATTCTAAAAGGCAAAACGAAAAATTTATGAGAACTGACCAGATCAAGAGACCGTCTTCCATTGTTATATAAGAGTGAAAATGACAAATAACAATTCTCAGGACGCTGATATCTTTGGAAAACAGACTGAAATCAAATTAAAAAAAAATATGAAGCAAATAAGTACTCTGCAATGTTTGATCTCCACCACAATATATAAGAGCATAAACATGGTTAGTACGAAATGAATAGTAAGTTTCATAGATATGTTCTCACTGTTCTTTGGCCAGAGAAAATTCTTGAAACAGAAGACAACCTCAAACTTCTCTCCCCTCTGTTTGAGAACCAAATTAGTGATGATTCGTCCTGTTCAAATGAAAATTATCATTAAGTTCGGGCCCTACCACATGTAAGAACAAATGAGCAACATCATCATCTAGTACCAATAATATGTGGATATTGAACACGATGCTCTAAAAAGTAAGATCCAAAAAATATAAATCCACCGATTTACATCAAATATTGTGATATAAACACGGGGCTCAAAAACAAAAGATGAAATAAAAATAAATAAATAAATAACTGCTGAAACCAATTCTTTTTAAAATTGCTACGGTAGGTGACTCCATTATAAGGAGTAAATCATTCTACAAAAGTCATTGAAAAAGAACCTTTAAGTCCCTTGATATTCACATAGACTTCCACAGTTGTTAGTTTAGTTTTCTCACGAGTATATATTTATTTTCAAAAATTTATGTCTTTATGATTAAGTTAAAGCACAAGCAGCAACACATTGCTTGATGTGCCTAAAGCGTATGAGGCATATAAACAAATATTTAATAACATCTCATATTTCAGACAGGCTGCTTCACACACTGCATAGAACATCTGCAAAATAAACCAAAGGTCTCATTTGCATTTTATAATTTACATCATAGAAGTCAAAGAATCAGTTCATCGTCTTCCAAATGAGTTTTAGTCTATATGGCTGAAGATATATATCAGCTAATATGTTTTAGGGGTGGAGTCGGCAACATGAAGAACTCTAAAGTGAGGGAGATATTAGTAAGGAAGAGTATTGAGTTTCCTCCAACATCGAAAAAGTAGATATACCAAGTTGCAAGCATTTGAAGTCTAATTATTATGAAAAAAAAAATCCTACTTGATAAGTGAAACTTCAGTCAGGAAAAAAAAACCAAGCTTGAAAATTTGGGATGGTTTCATTTATCAGCTAACAAAAAAGAAGCAAACCAAATTATCATAAGATCACTCTTGCCAGACAGAATTATTCCCTCTCCAATACCAAAACAAAAGAAAAAGACAACCTAACGAGAAAAAGTGGGGGCCGCTCCTGTTGCATGGAATCTCTATATAATTTACAGTATAAAAATAATTAAGAGAAACTGAGCAGAAGCATGATATTGCACCAACTTAGTAAAATAGAAAAGACAACTCAATATCATTTTTCAGATAGAATTTAATAAAAATAAATTCTTTAAGCTCACATTTGACAATCTAAATGGGTAAAACTTTGGTCTCCCTTTGCGACCATATTTGAGCAATTGACTGCCTTTCTTCAAAGCAACCAGTGCCTGCACAATTAGAATTCAAATGAGACCTTAAATAAAATTAGCAAATTTAACAGGGTGAGCGCAGTAAATAAATCAACATGCCAAAGCCAGAGGAATTATTCCAGATAAACTAAAAAACAAGTTCTTCATTGAATTGAATGCTAAATAAATAAAAAAAAAAGAATTATCTAACAGTTGATGTAATAATTTCAGATATCCTCCTTCATAATTTTTAAGAAGTCCTGATTTCCCAAACACAATTTGGTCTCATTTTATACAATTAGACATATTCGTAGAGAAAATCATCTGGAAAAAGAAAATTATATGATGATTAACATCAACATCATTAGCCATATCCCACCCCTCTAGAGGTTGGCTTTATGAATTCTTATTTTTCATTTATTCCTATGAGCGTTACATGATGAGTTAAATCTATTATATACAAATCTTTTTAAACCACTGTCAATTTTACTTATATCCACTCATTTTCTTCCTAATTCTTTAACTTTAATTTTATCGACCTGTCCAATGAGTTTCTACCCCTTGCCATATTTATAAAATTAATTAAGCCTATATTCCCCTATCTTAACTTCAAAGATATTCCTCCCACCATCCCTCAAATATAATCATTACTCAATTTATTTTTTTCTTTTTTTCTTTTTTTGTCATACATTCATCTAAACATTATCATTTTCACTATACTCAACTATAATCCACTTTTTACCTAGTTAGCCTAATTGCAATTTTATAAAATTTTCTTAAGTCTCCATGATATTCTCTTCATTGGGAAAGTAAAACCATGCAACAAAACAAACAAGAAATAGAAAGTTGTATTGGAAACAAAGAATACCAGGATTTAATGCGGAAAATCCTGAAACCAGGAAAAATCATGGAGCCACACCAAACCAAAACATTCAATATGAAAATTGGGAGAAATTTGTACAAATCGCTTTCTATCTCACTCTCTCCTCGTCTCTCTTTACTCTTATATTGTTTTCTGCACATAATGGACAAAGAGAAACATAAAATCATCCAAGGCACACAATATTTCTAAGTTAAACATGAAAAAAGAGTTAGAAATGTGCCCAATCCAACTCACAACACCGTGGCGCCTAGTTTAGAGCACCGCAGCGCCAAGTTTGGAGAGTCGTGGTACTCCACTCTCTGTCTCCAATCTAACTGACAGTACCGCAGTGTTGGGGTTTGAAATGTCATGGTGCACTGCTCTTTGTCTGCCTCCAACCAGATTATACAACATCATAATGCTAGGGGAGGACTCCTAACAATGTTGTATGGTTGTACACAACGTTGTATGATTGTACGGAAAAAAAAAATTGTCTGCAATGCACCTGAACCCAAGCTAGAGGAGGACTCCTAACAAACTCGACCAACATAATTGACGTTCGAGACAACCTATTGATCAACACAATCAAATTCCACACATAACTAACACTCTTATGTATCGCTAGATAAACTTCTCATTTTTTTAGCACTCAACCTTCACTCCAGTAGTCACATCCTCATTTATATCACATACTCAATAAAATAGATTCAATATATCTAAAATTATTGCATCATGTGCCACTTTATTTTAATAATGTGGACTAAATATTGTTAAAATCACCCACTCTAATTTGCATATCATATGCTAAGTTACCATCCTACTAATCATCAAGACTTTAACTTCTAAATACTTTCTTTGTTGATATAACTTTTCACTTATTCAAAAGAAAAATTCTAAATGATTAGAAATATGTTATTTTTCAAAAAATTATGCATTAAAGCATAAAGCGTCACGTTGAATATCAGCTAAAAATATCTTCATAATCAATACAATATGTATATATATATACAATATGTATATATATATATATATATATCTTAGTCACTTATACAACTATTTCTAATACCAATCAATATCATATCTTGAATACTTATGACAGTTTTTTCATTAATGCATAGCAAATCAATTTTCATAGTGCACAATGACATGCTATTTAAAAATCAATAAGAAAACGCATAAATCCTTTCTCTGATCTTTATACTTATTAATTTAATTTTTGCATAAAACGTCAATCTTATGATGACCCAGTTAGGTGAGTGGATGTATTAGTTTTGCCTATGTTATGAAAGCTAGAGATAAACCCAAAAAAGACTAGGTTAGAAAGTATTATACATGATTTTTTTAATTAAATGTAAGGGGGATTTACATATATACCACTTTATAATTGTTATATTACTTATCTACTAAACTTAAATATTTCATCTCTACCACCCAAACCTCAATTTAACAATAAAATACCACTCCGTCTCTTCCAAGCATATGGTGTTATTATCTTCTACTGAAATCCCTAATCCTGCAAACTGCTTTCCACGAACTACTGACCTAGCGTGCTTTTCCTTCCCGGCAATTTTCAAAGAACGATCAGGTACATTTCCTTTACTTCTTGTCGATCTTCTCTCTGTAAATGTTGTAGTTTATGTTGTATCCTTTGGGTAATGAAACTGCTGCTTGATTTATTAATTCACTCTGCCATCCCTAGTTTTAGAGTGTCCAATTTCAAAAATAACTTGATTTAGTATATTGTGTACTACGTTGACAGATCTGCTTTTTGAAATGAGTTCAACAAATTCATCTGTCACGAAACCTAGACGCTAATATTCTCAAGTTTACTGCCATACTCATCTGAACTTTGTGGTGTACACATGCTATCGTGGGCATAATAGTGGAAAACAGTTTTATAGGTGCATTCATAATAGAATGGAAATCTACTGCAGTTAATTTAAATGGGTAGACAAACTAGAAGTGGCCCCGTATGCCACACATGATGAATTAAAAGGCTTGGATGCAAGGATTTCTAAGAAGCTTGCATGATCCTCGTCCTAATGAAAGTCATTATTGTGGTTGTTTTTGTCGATGCAATCATCCAAACTTGATTTAGCATGTAATGTGTTGTGTCGAAATAGTTTGAAAGTTTATGTAGTGTTGTACTGATTAACACGTGTTGTGTTTGTAAATTGTTTGCTTATTGTTAAAGGTTAAGTTTGTAGAAATGTCTTTTCTTGCTGGCATATCTTGTTCTAATATGTTGTTCAAGGGAATAAAAAAAAAATCGAGAATGTGTTGTTTGAAGCTAATTTTCTGAGTTTGTTTTCTGCTCTGAATTCGTAAGCTGATAGTTTGATTAGATGGTTGATAACACAAATGGAGCTAATACACCTATCAACAGTCAGATTTTAGTGGGTACATAAATATTAAGAATCAAGTCACAGTAAATGTTTAAAGGAACAAAAATCCACTTTCATTACAAGAGCAACATAAGTTAAAAGAATATCAAGGTTTACATCGTCTAGATTATAAGTAATTTAGTCAACAACTTCATGATACCAAAACCAAACATGTTATCAATACAATTCTTAAAATGCTATGATAGTTAAGGGTCCATAATCAGGAAAGACTTGTTTACAACAAGCAACCCACCTAAAGCCTGGACCTGATATTACATTTATCAGTATAAATGTACTCTGCATATTGTCAATCAACATAACCTAATAATTTTTTCAAATGAAACTAATACTACTCGCCATTGCTTCTTCCCAGGTAATGGCGCAATTGCTCCATCATATGTAAGTATATACCTAAAGCACTTGTAATCAAGAAGTCAGTATTTGTAATATGTAAAAAATGGATTATAAGCAAGAAGGTTAACATTACCTAGATACATAATAGTAATCATCAACGTACATATGCCATAAGGGGTACTCCTTCATACCAATGAAAGCCACAGCATTAATGCAAGGTAGACCAGTTAACTGCCACACCCACCAAGTCACCTTTAATTCAATTTCCACAACAGCGTAAGCTAATGTGAGTAATCCATTATTACCATCAACATAACAAACATCTAAGTACTTCAATTTAAGATGGCATGCATCCACACTAACAAGTGGTCTACAACCACTATGTAATCCATCAGCACGGACCTCAAAACTCGCATAAAACATCTGAAAAGAATTAGCAATGCTATTCAGTGTATATGTGATATGTGAGCAAAAATTTCTATCAAGCAATTTTGCCCTCAATGTTGGAACCCATTTGTAGTTGTGATCAATCGATCAAAAAATAGTATCACGGGCATATTCTCTCGCCCTACAGAGCTTCGTATAAGGCAATGATAGGCCCTACTCTTTCTCTATACCATTATTTATTTCTTTTGGTGGAATGTTTGGGTACCTCTTGAACATCTCTTGAATCTCATTGGCAACCCATGCAGATGTGGCGAGTCTATTTCCAGCATGATTGACACTTGGACATGTATGCACTCCATCCACTCTCCTAACTTGAAAAGATTGAGTGTCTTCACATAGGGAAGCCCAAATTCACCATTGACAACCTAGATATGAGCATGTCGCAATATTATGTTTCTTATCACTGGCTTTTATCCTAACCCCAAAATTCTTCTTAATGGCAACTGATCGGATAGCATTCTTGAAACTCATTGCACTATTAAAAAATGTGCCAAGGATGATATCTATAACAATTCCAATATGAACACCTAAAATATCATCATCAAGCGCAACAGAATATTCTACCATCTGTTAAGCACTCACAACCCCCAGAAGGTTTGAGTTTCCCGACTCTCCATCTACTTCTTCTAGTGAGATAACTATCTCGACAGGTAAATTTTCATTCAACAATTTCACCATCTCACTCGCATCAACATCACAATTGATACTTTTGTATTCCTTGGGTAATGTTCTTTGTATATGATAATGTATATTATATTGATGCCCTTTCAGCCATGGATGTATTCTAGCAATCTATGTTCTAAGCATGTAAGTATTTATATATCCTTTCTTAAATTTGAAAGTCTTTGATTTGTCGCCATTATATCCCTTTCTAAATGGGTCATTCATATCAACTCAAAATCCTTCAAATTTAAATACAATGAAAATAATCTCTTTTTTATCTCTGTATAAATCATTTCCTACTTCATCATCATAATCATGCATTGACGAAGCATATTATGATGACGAAGTATGCCACCCACTTGCCATTTTTCCATCAACTACAAACTGAAATAAGATGACAGATCCAACACAAAATCTTTAGAAAAAAGCAGAAATATTCTTTGGAAGTGTAGGCAAAACAATTAGTATTGACAGTTAATGGCCCAACACAATAACGTATAGCATACACATAGAAATATATATTACAAGACACATAGAAATACATCTAACAGAAATGTTCTCTACAAGTGTAGGCAAAAGAAACCTTACGTGCGAAGAAGTTGCTCGTTGGAATCGCTGAAGCTTGAGGGAAGTCGGATGCAATAGAGAATGTACGCAACAACTCTCTAGAAGTGAGACGCAAGAGAAAAAGCATAGTAGGGCCGAGAGAAGCATGTTGAAAGAGAGAATTTCAGTGGAAAGGGAATAACGTCGTGACTCTATAATACACGAAGTGGTATTTTTGGTGTTTATTTTGTGTTTAGGTGATAGGTATGAAATATTTAAGTTTTAGGTGTTAAATATGTAATATGACAGATTTATAGTGGTATGCATGTAAATCCCCCTAAAATTATAAATAAGAATTTGACTCTTAACAGGATAGTGGAGAAAAAGGATTGATGTAGCTGACCACACATAGTGGGATAAAAGCTTGATGTTGTTGTATTTAATTTCTATACATATGATTAAAACCAAAAAAAAAGTACAAACTATTTATATATGGACAACCTTATCCTGGAGTATTACATTTGTCCAATTTAATCTCTTGACTATTCAAAATTAATCCAAAATAATATCTCAGAGACTAACTTGGGATCAATTTTGCATAGTTGATGGATAAATTTGAGATCAATTTTGTATCACAATTTCTCTAGGAATGCTCATTATGGGTCATTTTTGTTTAGACAAGATATTGAATTGGATAAATGTTACACTCTAGAACAAAATTGGGAACAGGCAAATAGTTAGGGGACTAGTTTGATTTTAATTTTATATATAACATGCATACAATATTCATTTAATTAATTAAATTCAAACAACACCAAATATTAGTTTGCAACAAATATAATGATAGATTCAATAATAATGATTTTCAAGTATCTTAAAGCCAAAAAAGAATCAGATATATAAAAATTTAATAATAAAGAATGCATAAGAATTAAGAATAATGGTGAGACTAAGAGAAAAGCTAGAAATGTAGAGCTTGAAAACGAGTGAATTAAGAGAGTTTCAAGATAAAGAATTAAGAAATGTGTAAAGGATGCATGATGCAGTCAAGATATCCTAGTTTATATTTTTCTTGCGTGACTTCTCATTTTGCTTATTGTTTGCTGAATATCCCTACTATTTGCTGAAAATTCCTGCCATTTTTTTGAAAATTTCTGCTGTCTTCGGAATATTGTTGTTTGGTCTTCCCAAAGTGACTATTTGATCTTCCCATGTTGGTTGTTGGTCTTCCCCATGCTGGACTTCCATTTTCCCTCCTGGCTCTTCATTTTCCCCTTCGGTTTACTTGTCGTCTTTTCAGATGGCTGCTCGTTTTCCCTCCTGCGGCTTTTAGATTTTCCTATTTGTTGAAACCTATGTTGGATGCTTTATTTCCTAATTAATTGGACTGGTTTGGAAGAGTTTTGTGGCAGATTTGGAAGACTTCTATTGGATATTTGGGTGAAAATTTTAAGTAAGCATTTAATATCATTTCCCCTTCTTTTTCTCTATAAGGTGGCTAATTTTTTTATGAGTTGATAAAGAGAGATTTATAATTAATTGTTGGAATGTGAAACCTACGGGTTTTTAGCTTGCGATCTATCCTCTCTACCTTACTTCTATTTCGTCTCGGTCTTCTATCTACTTCTTCTCTTCACGGTTTCCATTCCACCTGTATCTTTCTTCTCAAAATTTTTATAAGTTGTAAGGTGTCGTTGCGCCGTATTTTATTTAAATTGTTTGTTGTTGTTGTCCCTTTTATTTGAAGTTGTAAGGTGTGTCTTTATTTATAATAGTATTGTTATGTTTATGGTAAGGAAGGCTTGAGTTTCTATTATTTGTATTTTTTTATTGCATCAATAAATCAAGGAGTATTCTCAAGAAGATGATTACAAGAAAAAAAACTATTAGCATCAGTAGGAAGAACCACCAAGAAATAAATAAGAAAACTAATGAACAAGAGAATGTGAATAGGAGAACAACCAAATAGCAATTACATCTAGCTTGGGAATGGAGAGAAAATGAGAAATGACTCAACAACTACGAGACAAATGAGGATAAGAGAACATTCATGCCCAATGTATTGCGGCAAATGCATAATCAAACCATAAAATTTGAACAAGGATTATATTTTGAAACAAAATAAAGTGTACAATTCTATGACTCGACAAGACAAAGCAGTGATGCATTTGTGTTTTGCTAAGATCTTGCGGATGACAAGGAAGCAAAGCACAAAGCCAACAAATTACTTTGTTTCACTCCAAAAGCCCATTTTTAATAATATTGCTTATAAGATATATCCATAAGTATTAGCATATGTTGTGTGCTCAAACTTTCTTCTGAAATCACCTTGCAGTCTTTAGAAGAAAAATTTTCTTTCCTTTCAAATAAGAAAGAAATATTTTATAATTTGGTGACTCAGCTTTTATAACCAAGAAGAGTTATTCTTATTTCTTAAAGTACATGGTTGATAATGAAAAATTTTGGACTATTGTAGACTCAAGCATAGCTTTTAATAGTACATATATAAATCGCCTATTCCATAACTACCATACTCTTAGAACCCATCCTATTAGAACCTATATGCTCATTTAAATTACATCCAATAACTATCATTTCTTCAACAAGTATATGTCGTAGCAATTATCAACCTCTTCCTAAAATTAATCTTTTTAAACTATCTTCCAATTTAACTTAAGGGGCAAAATGATTGATATCATCAATAATTGTCTTCACTGGCGGAAGCACGTATTGTTCAGGGGGGCAATTGCCCCCCCTTAAAAAAAAAAATTAATTACATGCATGGGCATTTTAGTAATTTGCCCCCCCCCTGAAAAAATAGTTTTGCCCCTTTTTTGCCCTAACATCCCGCAGCCTCTTATTCTCTTCGTCACTTCGTGAATCGCGAGCAGGCGACACTCGGCAGGCCAAATAAATAGTAATTTATAAAATTCCACAATATCCTCGGAATTTTTTCTTTACATTTAGCATGCGAAAATAGCATGTCTTGGTTCAGTCATGCATCTCCCTAATTTAGACCCTCCACTAACCACCCGTTCCCTGCCACCAAACTCAATCACTAAAAAGGCGGAAGGTTCCATTACTTCTACAGCATGCCAAATCGTCATATACTGAGAGCTCTCCATCACTGTCGCTAAAATAACAAGATGAACAGGGAAGACTAACTAAAACATCATTGAGCACAGCTAGAGACGACTTCCCACCTCAAAATGCATAGAACTAATCCATAACCATCAAAAACATACCCCTTCGACCCCCTCCATTCATTAACATTCATTGCCATCAAACCAAGGATGCACAAGCGAGTCTATCAAAGCGGACCGAAAACATTCGAGATCATCATTCACAGAAAATTGTCCAAACGAAATCCCACGTGACCAAGAAGAAAACAGAGGTGTGATCCTAGTTAGCAATCCACTGACCTTCTCGATGTCGAGATCCGCGCTCCCCTGACGAAGAAGATCTGCCATTCAATGTGTGAGCTACTCCGGAGCACCACCCGCATCGATCGCCTCGAGCTCCCAGTCGTCATAGATGACAGATCTTCCCTCCGACTCTCATCAATCTCAGAGCAGCAGAAGACCCAAACCGCAACCTATAGATCCGAAGAAAAAAGAAGAAGAAGAAGAATATGATAATGATTGCTAGAGAACGTAGCAGTAGTCCTCAAACGAGGAAGTGCTTCACAAGCCGAGACTATATTCAATGCAGAGAGTGTGGGCGAGCGCCGCCTCGGCTTCTCCAACAGTGAAGTGCGACTTCCGACCAAGAAACGGTATAGTCAGGCAGCGCCGGAGCCGGCGAGAAAGCGAAGAAATCTGCTGCCACAGTAAAATGAAGAATCGGAAGCGCTGGTGAACTACTTCTTGAAGAGGCGTAGCTTTCAGCAGGTCTAGTAAAGGTCGGTCCAAAAAGCGGAAAACTACTGTGAAAGCGTAAGTGGAGCCAAGCGCAAGACGCAGGAATGGGAATATATATATAAAGAGAGAGAAAGAGAGAAAGAGAGAGAGAGAGAGAGAGAGAGAGACTGTTCTTTTAAAATAATTATGGATAAAGAGTTATCGCTCTAAATGGTTTACCGAACATATGTTTGCCTATTAAAGCTTACGCTTTTACTTTGGCTTTTTTTTTTAAATTTGTGTTAGAACGGCTTTCAACAAAATTAAAATAATTTTAAAAGTATTAAATTTATTTATGTTAATTTTACTATCTAATATTCATAAGAAAATAAATATTTAATTTTCTAAAGAAAGTGTTCTAAGTAGCTCTAACTTTTTGTAATTATAATTATAAAATTGTTCGGGGAAATTTTTTTTAAAGTTATTATCCGTATTATAAATATGTTATTTTAAAATGTATAGAAATAAATTTTATACAGCATTTATATATTAGTAGTTGGTTGTTGAAAAGAACTTTAAGTCATACTTGAAAAATATTAAAATAACTAATAATAATAATTAAAAAATAGCCAAATAAAAATGTATTTATCATCTTAAAAATTAGGTAGTAATAAAAACAACGCAATTAGAATGCGTTGTATATTTTTGTTTACCTTAGGGTCTATTTGGACTGTTTTCTCGTTGTTTTGATTTTCAAATATTAATCATAATTTATTAGGCTTTGTTTGCAACAACTTTTTCACTGTTTATTAAAGCAGCTTTCTAGTACAAAATTATTTCAAGAAGCAATAAGAAAGTCATCCTAAATGAAGGGTCTGTTTGGGACGGCTTTACTGTTGCTATGCTTTATAAACAATTGTTAAAGGGATGTTTGGGACATTGCGACAGACCTAAGTTGGAAAATTTTCTGCGGCCCATCCCCGCTTCGCGCGACCTTTCCCTGCCTCCCGCGGTCCGCTGCTTTCCGCGATTTCAAAGGACAAGAATGTCGCAAATGCCCCGTTCGACGAACTAAACCACCTCCTCGCCCTCGCCCTTCGCTCTCTCATCTCCCCTCACGAAAACCACCTCCTCGCCGTGTCGTCACCGAGAAGCTCGACGAACTGAACCGCGTCGATGTCGTTGCTTCCCGCCTAGGTCGTCGCTGCTCTCTACCCGCTCTCCAAGGCTTCGAACATGTGTACTCCGACTTACTCGTCGGCCGAATCGACCCCTCGGCTCTCGGCTTTCTCTCTCGCGGCATGGATGGCACCGTTCGCAAGATGGAGCAGTTCGCTTCCTCCACTGTCGCTCTCTACTCTGAGATCGAGCTTTCCACCAAGAAATTCCCTCCCACGCCTGCTGCAGGAGATAAGAGGTCAGGGAAGATTCAGAAATCTTCTTCGATGTTGGAGCCTGGTGTAAATCTCCATGGTGATGGTCTCAGGTTCAATTGCAGAGCTAATCCTGGAAAGCTCTTCATGGAATGTCTTAGCTTGAGTGGTCCGGCTTCATGGAAAGACACAAATGAACACTTTGAGGAGCATAAATGTGTTAGCCTGAGTAGGGCTGGTTCTATTGTTAAGGTTTGAGTGATTTAAAATTTTAATTTAAAATTATAAGTTTGTGTTATGTACATGAAAAGAAAAAAAATTTAATTTAAAATTATAAGTTTGTGTTATGTACATGAAAAGAAAAAAATTACAATTATACAAATTTTTTTCATCTTAATATATATAAGGGTAGTATGGTAATTTGTTTGTATACAGGTGCAGCACAGCAGTTTGACAGTTG